GGGTGGGGGGGCGCTCCGCCATGAGGAAGCTCGACTTAAAGACACATCCCAGAGGAGGAGATTGTCCCAAAAGGTCACATCCAAAAGGCGTTTCTTGTCCCCACCTGTCGTTTTGCTCCTCAGCATGGCTGCCTAAAATGCTGCAGGATTTCTCAAACATGCATGAATGAGTCAAAGTAAGGCTTTGGACATGTTTTTATGAGAGTATAACATTATAACATGATATAAAACTAAAAAAAAGTTGATTTTACATGAAATTGCCCCTTTAAAAGGCACACCTTCAGAGCTTTTCGTGCTTTTTCATTAATGCATACCTTTAAATAGATAGCATAGTTAAAAATTTCTAATGTTTAACTCATCAACAATCTTTTGTCACGTCAAACAGATTGTCTGTAAACTGGTATTTGTAACGAGCCATTTATTGTTTAAAAAATGCATTTCGAAGATCGTTCTTATTCTGTTTTGGATTTTTAATGAAGCGCAAATTTGTAGCCTGGCTCTGGCCGCAAAATCATTTAGTCAAAAACTTTAGATTTTTCCTAAATAGCTTTGAATTTAGCAGCACTCTTCAGCTTTTCCTTGGTTATACAAAGGGATTTTCAGGCCTAGAGGATAACCTGCCCTCAGGTGTCCTCCTTGATCAAATGGCTGATTCACCTCAGCTGACTCCTTCGTATGTTGAGGAGCAGGAAGCCACCTCCACATGTGGCTATCACCTGCAGAGACAGTAGTCTAGGTCGGTTGTGTGAGCTGGGTGACAGGCAAACGCCCAGGGGTGATGATTCCTGTAAACTGGTTTTATTTTAGTAATTCTGGTTGAGCTGATTTTGTGAGGCATATGTAGTTTTTGTAATCTGACAAACTAAGAACTCTAAATTCTAAAGCTGCTCCTACAGATCCAGAAGGTACTACAGCATGATATGTCATTCCATCAATTTTTCTAGTTTTCTTGGAAACATGCTGAATCGGGACTCATCAGATCATACAACTATTTTCCAAAATTACTTTTTTATGCAAACTATTAGGATTCATTGATGAGCTTTTAAAAGTCAAATGGAAATATGTTCTCAAATAATGTTGAGTTCTCGTTGCATCGCCATGGGTGGAAATACTCTAACTTTCACTGTCAAACTACTCGTTGAGGTTCTTTCATTTACCAAATCTGTAAGTTATCTCGGATCACAATCAGTTAAGATTTTTCTTCTCAACCACACTCCCCCCTTGAAGCTGATGGTTCACCACAATTCTTCCACTTTTTAGTGGAGCAGTTGTTAACCTAGTTTTGGTAGTTTCAGCAAACTTGCATCATGCACCAAAATATCAGACTATACCCTTCTGAAACGTCTTTCCCCACAACCACAGGATGTACCATCTGACAAGATTGTTTAAAGACAAACAAGTTACTCTCTGCATCAAGTAGGATGTCAGTAAAAAAAAAAAAAACCTCAGCATGTATCTTCCTTGTATGACTGGTGTAGATTTTCAGTCAACCAGGACAACACATACCCAAAAATAAAAAATTACAAAAATTAAAAATCCAAAACGATCAGAGTTTTATTTTGTAATTGAAGATGTTTCACCTCTCATTTGCTGAACTTTGTCAGTTTTTTACTGCATGACATTCTCTATTTATGCAGGCATGCTAAAACATCATTGTATAACTAAAACAGAGCTTACCATTATGACTGGAATGAATATAAAAAGATGGAGACAGTAACATGTCAAATTGCTGCAT